AACAATGTTTGAATTCCTCCATGTCGTTGCATGTTATAAAAACTCATTCACATTCACGGCTGTAAAGTACTTCATACTAAAATTTAATTATCCGTGCTACAGATGGGACACTTGTTTTCACTTTTTGACTGGGTATAAATTGATACAAATGAAAATTACATTTCTAACCACTCTGAAAAACGATTTGACTTAATTTACTAATACTCTACAACTCAGCAATTGTCACAGGTACATACCCAACAGAAATGCATACATGTTAGCCAGAAAAACACAGACTAATTTCATAACGGCACTATTTTTAACTCTTCCCATCTTTAACTGTGAATGAAGAGTTCACTGTAAAGATAACATATTTAAATATGGGTTGATTTTCAATCACCATGCTGGGCAATTAGCCCTTACAATCCAGCAAAAATAAGTCCTTCGGTTTGGGGAAATTTTATCAAATAATATTGTTGAGAATTTCCTCCTTTCCAGGTTCCTAACCTTTTTTTTTTTTTTTTTTTGAGCTGCTTATGTTGGGATATTGGACGTTCTTATTTTCTTTTCTCTCCCATTTTCCTCTCAGGTTTTTAATTTCTAAGAGATCATTTTGTGTTTCTTGTTTAGCAGCCTATTCTTGTTTATCTTCTTTTATTTTTCTGTGGCTTAAGATAGAGGTTGTTTGTTTTCCTTTCTTTGTATGGTCTTTACTTCCTCTAAGTTGCTTTTTACTGTTCATATATTTTCTTCTCTATGTTCCATGTTAGAAGCTTTCCTCAGATGTTTGATTGTCCTTGTTTTTTAATTCATGAGAAAAAAAGGCTGAATGGAAGCCTGCAATCATGGCTTGCTTGTTGTGGATCTTCCTCTCTACCCCTTTGGGTATTTTTATTTCATCCCCCTTAGGTTGGTTAGATTTCTCAGAGAAATTTTATGATTTCTGCCTGAAGAGTAAAAGACTAGCTGCCAGAAATTTGGGAGCTGAGTGGTGGAAAAAGGGCTGGAAAGTTAGCATACACATTCACAAAGCACAAATGATGTCCATATAATCCCATCAACTACGTGTAGTGTCTCCCTACAGAGAACTGGAAATGGGGATAGGACTTATGGACCTGACTGGTTCTCAGACAACTGTCCTCGTCCATTCCATACCGGTGCCCCAGTAAGACTGAGTCTTCTGAGGGTTCCGTGGGGTGTAGCAGGTTGCCTATCAGCCTTCTCTACCTCTGACCCGGGATGTGGCTTCCTTGGGCTTGCCAAGTCAATTACCAGGCTTTCATACTCTTTCTTATTTTCAAAAAATTCCATGCTATTGTCTCCTCGCCTGTTCTCTCTCGTCCTTGCATGTATATGTTCTTTTAAAATTCATGTTCTAATTTCAAAAAGAAGAAAATGAACTTAGAAGAGTGGAACTTATAAAAGTTCTCAACAGAACTTTTTAAAAAATGAAACTGCCAAAGTCTAAAGTTCTTAAAGAAAATAAAATGTGAAAGAATACTCTGCTAAGAATGTTTGGAAAAACAACAATAATAAGGAAATGACTAGTCTTACTAGTTGCCAAATTCACTGCAAAGCTTTGGAAATTAAAATAGTGTAATACTAAGATAAGAATAAAAGTATGGGTTGATGAGACAGAATACAAAATACTGAAACAGACACATGTTTATAAGAAAATATAATTTTTTTTTCTGGATGCGGTAAATCATTTCCATTATTGTCAAAGGCATAAACTGGTTTTGGAAATTTTTTAAAAGGTTAAAATTCATACAAAGCCTGTTGTAAATGAAGACAAAGGTAGATTAAACTGCATCATTATCTGTCTTAAATAAAGTACATACTTTCTATAAAAAGGAAAGATGGGCTTCTCCTTTAATGATGAACAATAATGGTTCTAGAATTGTGTGCAATTCTAGAAAAAAATGCATTCTCTGAAAATTGTTTTCCACTTATTGTGAACTTCAATAGATCAAGTTCAAAGGCAAATCATGATAAAAACCGCCATTGTCTTAAATGCTGCAGAATGAGTTTCAGACAAGTTACCATGAAAAGTCACAGTTGAGAAACGTAGTGAAACACAGACACAACATGGATACTTTGGGTTTCGAAGTTGAGAAAACTGGAATAAAAAGTTGATTTTGACTACAATACTTTTAGATGCTCTAGGAAGAGCCCAAATCATGGTGACAATAGCAGGCTGTGAAAAAAAATCACTGTAGCCTGTTGTCACCAAGTTGCCTCCATACCTGTAGCTCCCACACCTGGGGCCGCCAAATCCTCTTTCTCTCCCTCTATTGTGGAAGTCCCCTCCTCTTCCCTGTTCTGGAAGGTTTAGGGGTGGGCACACTTCATTATACATGCGGCCTCCCAAGCCAAGAAAATACGATTTTTGATAAAGTTGGTATTTTAAATTGGTGGGGAAAAGATAAACTAGTTGATAGTATTGGGATAAATGACTATATTTTGGGAAAAAAAATAAAGGTAGTTATCTATCTGAATACAGACATAAAAATATCTTATAGCTATTAATGAGCTAAATGTAAACACTAAAAAAGCAATGGCAGATCACTTTTGTGCCGCCTGGGTGTCTCGTGGGAGAGATTTCAGCTCCTGGGTGGCTGGTATTGTTAAAAGCAGCAAGTGGAGGCAGCCGGGACTCTGGACTAAGATGCCCAGAGCACATGCAAAGAGAGGAAGACTGTATTTCTTGGCAGCACCGCAGGCCATGTGGCATAAACAACCCAAACTTATTTTCTCTCAGTGTTGGGGGCTAGAAGTCCTAGATCGTGGTCTGGCAGGATCAGTTTCTGGTGGGGACTCTCCTCCTCACTCGCAGACAGCCGTTTTCTCCGTGTCCTCAAAGGGCCTTTCTTTGCTTTGCGCACATGGAAAGAATGATCTCTGGTATCTCTTCCTCATCTTATAAGAGTACCAGCTGGATGGGATTGGGGCCCCACCCTTATGACTTTATGTAACCAACCTACTTCCTTAAAGGCTCCATCTCCAGATACAGTCATGTTGGTGGTTAGGACTTCAACATATAAATTTTAGAGGACAAAATTTAGTCTATAACAGTTGGGTTCTCAAATAGGCTAGTGATACAAAATGAGAAAGAATAGTTTCAGAAAAGATATTCCCAGACAGAGATCAAAAAAGAGCAGTCAGATGAATCTGTTTCTCTTAGAGCCTCAAAACACCATTATTCAAGATCACGATCAAGGTCAAGAAAAAGAAAACAAAGGAGCCAGAACAGAAGCAAAAAGCGTACTCATACATGAAGAGACTGAACTGAAGATGCTGCAGACTCAGACAGCAAAATAATAGGGCATGAATCTAAAAATAAAATTTCTAAGAAACACAAATCTAAGGAATGACAAAAATTTTCTTCTCAACAGAGAGTGACTAAATTCATCCGAAAATGGTGAGAACAGACATAAAGGCAAAGAAAGTCATCGAGAGGCAGAAGTCATTCAAAATCTAGGTCTCATAAAAGGTGTCATCGTGGTAGGCACAGGGAGTGGAAGAAGTCTTGCTCCAAGAATAGGGAAGAGAAGTCGTGATCCAGAAGCAAGGAAAGAAAACTGTGGGTCAGATCTCGTTCCTGCTCAAGATCAAGACCCAAGTATAGGGGTAGAAGCAGGAATAGCTGGTTGAGAGAGAAAGAGAATGGAACCGCTAAGAAGATTTAGCAAAAGTTTAAGCCGGACTGCCAGTCCACTTCTCCTGAGAGGCAGAAGCACGGCAACGGATGCACAAGAAGCTCTGGCTGGGAGGTTGGGAGAAATGACAAAAACAGTGAGAAAAGGAAATGGTTGAAAACAATAAGATAGCTGCAGCCACTGGAGATTCTGTTCTCGAAGTTGCAGCCCTGTGGCACCAAGAACACAAGAAGCTCCTCAGACAGCTATGGCTGCTCAAACAGCAGCCTCACAAACTAAAGCTCTGGCAGAGAGCAGAACAGCCACATTTTATTACAACCCGGCAGCTGCGAATCTAATGAAATTTGCTGAACAAGATAAAAACAGAAAAATGCTTCAGCAAGGCAAGATAGAAGGGGATAAATCCCAGCTCGCTTAAATATGGAATCAATTGAATTTTGAAAACAAGGACCAAAATGTCAAATTTTGAAAATTAATGGGTATTAAGCTTGATGTAGCTCAGCTGATAAAGAACACTACAAGACTAGGAACAAGGAAAAGAAGTATTTAGAAACCTACACGCTCAGTATGAGTGGCAAGATTATAAACCCACACACCACGAGCAATGGGAGTGGGGGTCACATCTTCAGTGTGAGGAGTGGACACAGTTTGAAAAAGGTCACAATTTTAAAGTTTGGGACTTTACAGACTTCTTTGTATGCTGTCAGGTCCCTGATCACCAAACAGCTACCATTCTAACTTGCCTGGATGTTGCACTTTAATTTACTGAAGAATATGATTCTCGCCACACACACACGAAAGTGGTGATTATGTGACACGGCAAGAGGAGTAACTAACGCTATAGTGGTCACCATCCTGCAATATATAAGTGGCATCAAATCAACACCCTGTACACCTTAAATCTGCACAATGTTATATGTCAATTATATCTCAATGAAGCTGGGAAAAAATACATCATTTTTTGTAAGTATCAAATCATTCTAAATTTCTGGGGGTTCACTCACATGCCCTTGCCCTCAGACTTCCCCAGAGGGTCTCTTGTGAACTCTCAGGGACACCGAAACCAGACAGTGACCCAGACACTCTGTTCAGCTTACGTTTTCTTGAGATCCTTCAAAGTGGCAAATCACCTTTTCCTTACAGTTAAGTTTGTGCTTATCACTCAGTTTTTCCAAACTAAGCAAAATATCATTTAGGGAACATACATCACATGCTAAATGAGAAGCAAAGAAATGATGATGGATAAAGCAAAAGTCTGAGGATGGATACAATGAGCCCGGGGCACACAGAACCATGAAGGGACTGGCACTTACTGTGTCTTAATTGGAGGGATAGTTTCATTTTATTGACTTTCTTTAAACTGTATCAGCATAGTCTGCACATTTTTTGTACACACGTCTCACACAAACAGGAATAATTTATAAAACAACAATAATCTTACTGGGATTCTGATTGGGTTTTCAGTAATTTATAATCTAGAAATACTTATATTTTAAAGAGTTTTCCCAACGGGCAAAGGATATGTTTTACTTATTTACTTTGCTCTTTTTTTATATTTCCAGTAGAGATATAAAGTCTTCTTCATATAGATTTTGTACATTTTTTACATTTATTCTTGGGTATCTTACGAATCTTTTTTGCTATTGTGAGTGGGGCCCTTTTAAATATTGTTATTTTCTAATTTATTATTGCTAAAGAGAATCTATTAATTTTTACATGTAACCATGTATCCTGTCCCCTTATTAAACTCTATTGTTAGTTCTAACTGTTTTCCAGTTGATCATTTTAGATTTTCTGAGTAGATAATTTCATCTACAAACATCATATATTCTTAAGGCTAGTAAAGCCAATTCTCCATTACTGCTGTTTCTCCCTCAAAACACACTTTTGCATTTCTTGGCCACTCATTTTTCCTGATAAATTTTCCTTTCACTGAGCTTTGCAAAATCTGATGGAATTATACTTGGTTTCCCATTTAATCTATTAATTACTACTGTCATTTTTGCTTGATTCTTCCCAACAAAGGGAGGGCTTATAGCTCCATTTATTTTAAGTATTCCCTTATGTCTTTAAGATTTTACAGTTTTACTGGACTCTATGTCAAGTATTCTATACTAAGTTACTTTCCAAACATTAAATATCCTTTGTCACTACTATAAGTAACATTCCTTTAATTACGAGTTTTGTTTTCACAGAAATAGAAAATTTAATTTTGATGAGTTTATCTCACATTCTGCTATTTTTGCTCATACCAAGTATATTTTTGTTACGCTTTAACAAAAAAAGTGTATTTTTTTATAAATTTTGCTCTTTTTTTTGGTTTTCTATGGACATAATCAGACTATCTTACAGTGATAACTTGTCTCCCTCTTCCTTTACTGTGTTATTTCATTTCTTTTTTTATCATTCATTACAAATGTTTGTTCAAATAGAAATAAATAGTAAGAGACACATTGTTTGCATCAATGCATGTAGATTTCTCCCCTGAGACAACACTGGCTCTGGCTCTAGGTTTTAAACTTAAAATTGGCTACTTCTAGGAAAATAAACTAGGTGACCAGGGTAGAGGGAAGAAATATATTTTTCAATAGTTTTGGTATATCTTTTGAATTTTGAACCACATAAATGTATTATTTCTTCGACAATAAGTAGTTTATACTAAATAAACATGTACTAAGTAATCAAATAAAAATGCTTCCTATTACAATTTAAGAATATTTCAGGTATATAATTTAGATCATTTTTCTTAGTTTCTACTGACGCAATATATTTTGTTCACTATTTTTCTTACTGCTGTAATAGAGTCCAGTAAATTTTCCTTGTTAAACTGACTTGTATCCTTGGGATAAAGACTACTTGGACACAATGAATAAGTCTTTCAGTATGTAGTATTCCTGAGGAAGAAACACACTCTCAGAAGAACCGGAACATAAAACAAAAACCCTAAAGTCAACAAAGCTTAAATGATCTGTTTAAGGCCACACTGAGAGAGTCAGAAACAAGGGCCAGGTTTTGTGACTTCTTGGTCCAACTGATTATTGCCTAAGATTTTATTTAGTAATGTAAACCAATACTAATACTCAATATTTGAGTAACATTTTCTTTTTGAGATGCTTTTGGATCACAATCCATTTACTCTGTAAAATAAAGTTTAGTATGATTTTTTATTGAATTTAAAAATAAGTTTTGTTATATAGAGGTTTTAGTGTACTTCAACACTAAAAAAATTTTCAGTAGGTCTATCAAGAAGTCAGTTTTTTTTAAAAACCTTTCTTTTTTCCTCCCAATACTGGATTAAGTGTGTTTTCTTTGACCTAATTTGGGTATTTTTTTGTAGTCAACTATCGATTATATTGGTAATATAACTAACTATATATAGCACCCCCTAAAAACATTTTGATGTTTTCTATTTCTGACTTTTATGCTCCTTATATTAGACCAACTGTTTTATTATCTTTTCAAAAATCAAACCTCTTAACTCCTATTATTTTTACCTTTTACTTATCTATCTTGCCAAATTCAATGCATACTAAATATTTAATATATGTTCATTACTTTATAAAGTTACATACCTCTCTGTCTTGTTAATATAGCTATCTGAAGTGCATTTCCTCTAATAACTGCATCTCGATTAAAAAACATATCATCACTATATTTCCTTTATTTTCTAATACACTTATTATATGCACATTTCTACAGCATTCTATAGTTTACAATTCTATAAAGTACATTTTCACAACTGAATTCTACAATCTAATACCTCTATATGCAGAGGGTGGATACATGACTCCAACCCAGGTTTTCTGATTCTAGATCTTGATTGAGCTCTTTCTATTATGCTTCACTGACTCTAAATGTCCACTCTGACTCAGGTGTTAAGAAAGCATTTAAAAATATCTTAGAGATGAGGGTTTTTTTAGATGCTTTCATTAGTTATTTATACATTTATGTACAACAAGTGAATATGATGGATGAAAATTTTAATTAATCAGCTTAAATCATTTTCTGAATGTGAATGGGTATAAATAAATAAAATTTAAAAGTTGCTCTAAGACCACCACTTTTTAGAAAAGAGTCTGGGGTATGTGAAATGAAAATACAAACTCAAAGTTTCCATTTATTTGTCCCTAGGTATATGAAATTTAGTTTGACTTTTATCTTAACCAAATAAAATATAACTGTAAGCATGTAAAGTTTATATTGTATAGCTAGTTTTCTATAATTGTTCATTAGGTTTTTAAAAATCTTATTTTTTAAAAAATCCTTTTCGTGACTTTTTTCAATTATAGTTCACAATGTTGTTAATTAATTTTTTTTTTAAGTTTTAATGCAAGCTTCTACTTGAGCACTTACTACTTAAGTAACTTATTCAAGTCACTTAAAAGAAGCCCACCTAGAATTACATGTATAAAATCATGGAACTGTACTAAGTTAATCTGAGTCTCAGCCTCAGATTTCTGGAGAGGGCAAAGGGGTTAGGGGTTGGAGATTGACTCGATCACCAATGTCCAATGATTTAATTAATCACGCCTATGTAATGAAGCCTTCATAAAAACCCAAAAGGACAGGGTTCTGAGAGCTTCTGGGTTGGCGAACACAGGGAGATTCAGAGAGAATGGGGTGCACCTAGAGAGGCATGCAACCTCATGCCCTTTCCCCATACCTTGCTCTACATATCTCTTCCATCTGGTTGCTCCTGTGTTACATTCTTTCATAATAAGCTGGTAATCTAGTAAGTAAAATGTTTCTCAAGAGTTCTGTAAGCTACTTTAGCAAATTAATCAAACCCAAGGCGGAAGTCATGGGAACCTCTGATTGACAGGCAGTTGGTCAGAAACACTGGTATTGCGTTTGGTGTCTATCTTCAGATAGTGTCAGAACTGAGTTAAATTTATGGGACACCTGGCCAGTGTACACGGAGAACTGAGTTAACTGCTTGGTAGTTGAGGTGAGGGGGACACACACACTGGAACTGGTGTCAGAATCGTACATGAAAACCAAGGGCAGTGAGACGGCTGGGTAGAAACCAATGAATCCAAAAGCTCTAGGAGTTTTTAAAGGTTGCTAAGGAGCTTTCTTACAGCACCATCTAGTGGACATCTGGCAACTTTTACGAGCATCAATAAAGAGACTGGCAAGAGGATCTACTGAATGGTTACTCAGAAATCCAGGGCAAACTCTCTAAAGCGGCTGCCATCATTAGCTGACTACACATACCTGGATGAGGTCCAAGATCCCGAGTTCACTCTCTGATGAATCCACACAAAATACAAAGTAGAGGGTAGCATAGTGACGATAAATCAGTTTGTAGTCTGAGCCACCAATCAAACTGTGGGAGATGGGAAACATTTAAATGCCTATATCTTAATTAAACATATCAAAGAGAAACCCTGTCCCAAGGAATGACAATGGACCCCGTAGAAAGGGGGAGGACAGGACAAACAACAGGCCATTTCTCCCAGGTGAATACAACCAATTCTGGCAGTGGTGCCTAAAGCTACTTTACCTCACCTTTTCTTCTGCCCATCTCTCCAGGAACCAAACATCTAAGTGAGTGATGTCTGAAGCACAATCATTCACTGGCTTCCAAACAGAATTGAGTCTCTCTCTCAATATATCACACTAAGATCAGCTCAAGCTGCATCGGATACAACCTGACACTTGAATACTGCCTGAACAAACAATAATGATGAAGGCCAAAGTGGAGATATGGGGAGAAAACCGAAGCTGATTATTTATTTACCTTCCGCCCTCCAAGAAGTTACAGATGTTGTCATCCCTCTTGAGAACTAGGTGGAAGGTCTCTCGAACAATCTGCTGTTGAATTTCTTCTGGCTATGGAATAAAAGAAATGAAGTGAATCAGTGGAGATGTCTGAAAATACAACCCGTTGATGGAGGTGGCAGGGTGAGATGTGCTTCCAAGCTGGGAACAATCTGGACATTTGGTACCAGTTTCCAGAAAAGATAAAAATGATGAGTAGAGAAAAAATAAAAGGGGAATGTAGGGGAAAATGGGTGACAAGACTCTGTTACAGGAATCAAGATATATTTACCAATCTCGTCACTAACCATTACCACCACCCTGAAAAATAAGCTGGTATTTCTTCATAGTTAATAACCAAGGAAAGTAGAAATGATAAACTCTGATGCAAGGTCAAAGAATAACTAGAAGACCTGGTCCTGAAATACTTTGTTTTCCTCTAGAAAACATCTATGCCAGGGTAAATAACAATGTTAATAGGTCTAACACTTTAAGGAGGTCAAGATGTAATCATGTACATGTTTTAAAAAATGAAATTTGCCATCTTTTCTACTGGTAATATAGGTATTACATATAACATGTTGCGTTACTCACCAACAAAGTATTACTGAGAAAGACAGAGTTCTATTTACAATAAGAATGTGAAATTTTTTTTTTCCACTATTCACTCACTACATATAAAAAAGCTCAACTGTGATGCAATCTCTTTATAACTCACATCTGATCTCTATTTATACATATTATGCATTATAAGTATGATTTTTAAAAAAGGATGATAAGAGCAAGAACCAGTCATTACAAAAGTAATTAAAAGCTTTAGACCAGGTGCTCTGAAAACTCCATGTGTAATGAATCACCTGGGAATGTTATTAAAATGTAGATTCTGATTTAGTAGGTCTGGGGTAAGTCCTGAGACCGTTTCTAACAAGCTTCTAGGTAATACCAATGCTGCTGGTCTGGAGACCATACTTTGAGTAGCAAAGCTTAAGAAAACCTTCAGATTGAACTTGCCCCAAGAGTCAGAAAATAAGATGCAAGAAATGTTAATCTCCTTCTTTCGACAACATTAAATTTAGGTTTGAAATGGTTAGTTATTTAAAAGAAATAGAGGAAAAAAAAACAGACAATGTCATTGTGGACAAATTATTTTTTGTAACTTTGACTTGACATGGGTATACACTGGCTCTCAGGAATTACTGAATAGAAGAATGAAAACTCGCTCATCATTGGCCACTGCAAGTTTGAGTAAATCAATCACTACTTTCCTGGTTTTCATTTAAAGAATTCACAAAGTTCACAGATGCCAGGAGTTAAAGGATTAACTGTACACTTGGAAGTAAAAAACATGCTAGGCATCAGCAGTTTTTTAAACTGACATAAACATCCTTCAAACTAAAGCCTTTTATCAGACTCTAGGGGGAGTGGCAGAAGTCAGTGGAGAAGTGGTATGAAATAGTGAGGCTACCTACTTTCTAATTCAACAAAAATGTTAACTACCAATTGCTTACATGCCTCTATTATTTTAATAATCCCTCACATCTTCCAGCATTCTGCAGTTTCCAAGGTAATTTTCACTTGAATTAATTTGGTTCTTATAAAAATCCTAAGTTCTTCCAAGAGATACAAATAGTCAAGAAGGACATGAAAAGATGCTCGACATCACTAGTCATTAGGAAAATGGAAATTAAAACCACAGCTTTACGCCCACTAAAATGTCTTTAATCGAAAGATAATAATAAATGTTAATGGGGAGGTGGAGAAAGTGGAACTATTATACTTTCCTGATAGGAATGTAAAATGGTGCAGCCACTTTGAAAAACAGCTTGGCAGTTCCTCAAAATGTTCACCAGAGTTACCACGTGATCCAGCAACTGTACCCCCAGGTATATAACCAAGAGAAATGAAAACACATGTCCACACAAGAACTAGTTGTACATGGATGTTCCCAGCAACATTATTCACAAGAGTCACAGGTAGAAACATCAATTGATGAATGGACAATCAAAATGTGGCACATTCATGCAATGGACTACATAATTCCATAATAAAAAGGAAGAATTATACACTACGACATGGATGAACCTTGAAAACATACTGTACTAAGTGAAACAAACCAGCCATAAAATACCATATACTGTTTGATGCCATTTACATAAAATGTCCAGAACAGGTGAATTTAGATGGAAAGTAGATGGAAAGTGGTTGCCTAGGACTAGGGGAGTTGATACAGAATAATTGCTAATGGGTAGGAGTTTCTTTTGGGGGTGAGGAAAATGTCCTAAAATTGATTATGGTGATGGTTGCATAACTTTGAGAACCTACTAAAAACCACTGAATTGTACATTTTAAATACGTGAACTGTATGGTATGTGACATAGCTCAATAACACTTTTTTTAAAAGTGAGAAAAATTCACACATACTAAAATACAAACTGAGTAGTTACACTGAATGCTAATATTTTTACCTCGATAATGATTACTTAAAATGTAATCTAGCTTTAAAAAGTTCAATGAAAAGGGGTAGTTTTTTTCATTTCTACTTGACATAAGAGGAAATAAGGTCTAAAAGACGTTTAACTTGTCAATAGACAGAAGGGTAAAAGAGGTGGAGTTAACGCTTTAATATAAAATTTCTTTCCCTCCTTCAGTTTCACCAGTCCACCAACTGTGTCCGTAACATTTTGAAACCTCGCCACGAAAAAATAAAACGTTAGGAGGCAAATAATCATGTCTGTGTTTTTCCAGGGAAACGCTTTAGGAAAATTCAAGTTTGCATTATCACTTATTAAGCCCTCACGCGGCAGCATTTATAATTTCTCATCATTTGCCACTTTTAAACTGACTTTGTGCAACTCTTCAGAGTGAAGGATAACCAGTCCCCGGGCAGTCCCAATACTGAAACGAAATTATTCCAAGAAAGCACTTTTTCAGACCCTCTGGCTAAAGCAAAAACTCTAAGAAGCGGCATATTTCTTCCTTCTTGTGAAATTCAGTTTAACGACCAACAAGACTAAAGGGACTTCAATCATTCAAGTTCCCAATGAGACACGCCCCCGCCCCGCCCGGTCACTAATAGCGAGCGCCCTGAGACTCGAGGAGGTGTGTCACTAAATGGCACGGAAATGCCAGGGTCCACGAAGGGGTGAGAGAGAGCAGGCGGCGTGGGGCAGAATGGACCGACTTTAAGGAGTATGAGAGTCACGCAGGGTGCAGGAGCCCGAGGTGGTCAGCAGGCTGTACCCGCGTGCGCCGTCGGGGCCTAAGGGACGGAAGGGGATGCGGGCGCCCTGAAGGGACGTAACGAAGCTGGGCCGCACTCACGAAACGCTGGTAGAAGCGGACCAGCCGCGGCTTCCCGTGGTTGTTGAAAACCATAATCGCCTGAATCATCTCTGCCGGCCTCGAACCTCTCCACAACAGGGGCTTCCAGAAAGCATCAACTTCCGCCACAACAAGGACACTTCCGGTTGGTGCACTGCAGAAATTGGCCGGCGGAAACTTGCCCTGGTGCCCACGGGCCCGACGACATAAAGTCCGACTTCCCAGCACGCCGCGGGGAAAGCTCCAGGGCCCCGCGGCGCGCTCGTGGGCGGAGGGCTGGTGCCGACCCACAAACACCAAGGCTGAGGAGGGTTGTCATCTCGGCCAGCATCTGTAAGCCAGTCAGTGCCCGGCCAGGACGCGAGCCCGGATCTATGTCCTTTGCCCAGATCGACCGCTCTGCTGCAGAAACCCGGGCCCGGCGCAAAGCAGATCCAAAGAAGATAAACAGTCCGGCGGGAGCCTCACATCTCACCGTCAGCGCTAAACCGTACAGTCCTGCCTTCCCCTTAACACTTGCAGAACGTTCTGCGGTGGGAGATGCCAGCTAATTTAGCCATTCCCCAGTTGGGACACGTTAAGGTCATTTTTATTTTTCGGTATTACAGCCCCCGTACATAGTGAATGGTGGAATCAAGGGATCTTTAATGCAATTCCATTTAAAAGGTACCAGCGATCTCAAATTGGTAAAAGAAAAAAAAAAATTAATGACAGTCGGTGTGGACGTCCCTATATTGCAGATAGAGCTGGAAAATGGAATCACCTATCCCAAATGACTGGCAATATGTGTCGAAAGCCTTTAAAATAAATAAAATGTTAGACCCAGCGTTTCTAGTTTTAGAACTTATAATAAAACTATTATGGATATGTGAAAAGATTTAGTTGCAAGAACGTATATCTCAGCAATGTTATTACTGGGAAAAATGGGAAGCAAGCTAATTATTTCAAAATGTGAAATTGTTAAATGCATTGATCTACATGCATCTGAGAAATATTAGTTATTAAAAAACATGTTGTGAAAGATGGTATGGGGAAATGTTCATGATAGCTCTGTAAGTGAAAAGATTACACAAAGTACATACAGGGATACCCTACTTTGTAAAAATTGGAAGTAGATACAACAAAATATGAATAATTGTGTCTGATGGAATGGCAGCATCATGGAACCACACTGTCCTGATTATAACCCGGGCTCTGGTAACTGCCTAGGCACCTTGGGCAAGTGTCTTCATCTGTAAAACTGGCATAATGTCAGTTTACTGTAAAACTGGGGTTCTTCTACATGAAAAAAATGTGTTCAGGCAGTTTTGAACACAAAAGGAATTACAAGCACTTGGGGCCATACATGGTATATAACTGAGTAAGTGATTTAAAAAAGAATGGTAGAATTATGTATTCTTTTAAAAATTTTTCTAAATAAATATTTACTCTTATAGCCAGAATTTTTTTTAATTAAAAAAAAATCCAAAGGCAGTAAATATGCACTGAAATGTGACAAAATATTTTAAATGTTGAGAAGGGTTACCAAAGAAAATTCTAAAACAGAAAAAGAATGTGAGAGACCTAGGTTTACCAACTATCAAATCCTGCTATGATAGTTCAAATTGGCATTATAGGGAGACTTATTGAAATATAATGGATAACTTAAGCATAAAATAATTTAATATGTGATATAAGAGACATCGTAACAGGAAGGAATTCAATGAGTTTGTTGGGATAACTGAATAGCAATTTGAAATTAAGCAATTTAGTTATCTCACTTCATATCCTTTCACAAGTTAAAGACAGAGTGGATTAAAGAGTTAAATATAAAACCAGATAATAACCAAAATGGAAGAAAATGAAATTGAGTAATATCTGGAGAATATAAGCTTAGAAGCCATAAAAATCACAAAAAGTCAACGGATAAGTCTATATAAAGATTTTGTTTGTAAAACCAATTTTTAAAAATGGAAAAAAATGGAAAGGATGTTGTTAAAATATGGCAGTTATATGTAAAATATACATGACTGATAAACGAAAAAGACCTACTCTCTAATAGATAAATGGGCAAAGGAACTGAGTAACAAAGGAGGAAATACATCTAGGAAATGAATATGAAAAAAATCTTTAAGATCACTATTAATGGGGGAAAGGGAAAATTAAAATTGAAGTATTAACTTTAAAATTATTTTCACCTTATCGAATACCATTTTAAAAATGTTATACCCAATTCTGGCAAGCGTCACATGAAAACGGTCCTCTCCTATACTGCTGGTGAAATTGTAATTTAGAACAACACTTTTGGAAAGCAATTGGCAATATAACAAGACCTTTACAAAAAATTCCTAGATTCCCAGTAATCTGATTCCTGGAAATCAACCCCTAAAGAAATTACCCAAAAATATAGTGGGGCGGGGGCTACAGAGGGAGATGGATGGGTGGGTGAGATTGAGGGGATTATATAATTCACAACAGTTCTTGACACGTTAATTACATTAGCTCCAAAAGGGGACCAATAAATTACCCCCAAATTGGACAATGATAGAGCTATTTTAAATGGCAGTCAATCCTAAAAACGATGGTTATGAAGACTATGTAGCAATATGGAAAGTGATCATACAACTGAAAAAGGATTATCCAATTTCATGTGTAGGTATAGTATGATAACAACCATAGACAGAAATTAATATTCCAGGAAAAGGCCACTTCCCCACCTCCATTGCTTTGCTAGTGCTGTTGTCTTGCTGCAAAGTCAATTTCTTCCTGTCTATAGACCAATCCACTCTAGCCTCTCACCCCGACAACTGCAACAGTCTCCTAGTTAGGCCCATTGTCTTCAGTTTCTGTTGTCAACTGATCTTTGAAATCTACAAATCAGATCTTCTCACTCCCTGGGATCACTGGCTTCCTGGATGTTAAAGATAAAGTCCCAAAATACTGAACATGCTTAAGATCCCATGCCCGATCTCCAGCCTCATCTCAAACACACTGCAGCTCCCATCCATTCTGAGCTCTAGCCAAATGGCCTTTTTCTTCCAGGAACGCCCCCTTCCTCCACCCCCTCATAAGACACCAAGCCCATTGGTTGCCCAGGGCTTCCCCCCATTGACACATTGGGCCGCCTCCTTTGGAATGGTGGCCTGTTCATACAAGCTCTGGGCAGCGGGATGCTCTCCCTGGTGCCTCTACCCCCAGCCAGTGTCCCATTTCTCCTCCTGCTTAACCACTTCTTTGGCCACCCCCGTGGCTGAGGTCTCAGCATGCTCAACAGTGGGCCAGCCCCTTTCAAATGCAGGACACCAGAGAGGCAGCTTCTAGTTTAACTGAAGTGTGAGTCCCAAGCCTTACAGTTTGAGCCCGGGCTCAAATATGCAAGAAAGCACAGTCATAGCCATGATAATAAACGTTGGAAGCATTACCTGCTCAACTGCTGATACTGCAGGGCTGATTTCAGCCTGGACAGATCAGCAGTCAAGGGTTTAGGCAAGCTCCCTAAAGTCTGGGAATATAACCATGCTTCACAGGGCCAGGACCTCTCCTGGGTCCTCTGTCCAATGCCCTTCTGTAGGCCAAGGGAGCAGGGGATGGGAAAGGAGCATATATTTTGCTTCTGTCAGCTCTGGATTTGAATCCTGGCTCTGCCACCTATTAGCTGTGTGACCCTGGGCAAGTTGCTTAACATTTCTGAGGCCCCCTTTCTCCTCTGTAGTATACATGTAGGAGCAGAATAATCCAGTAGTTAAGAATGTGGACCTTGAACTCTGACTGCCTGGGCTCTCTCCTCTATACACGATCAATGGAGGCTCTGAGTTTCAGTGTCACATGGAAAAAATGGAATAATAATCACAGTACCTCATGGTATTGTGGTGACAATTAAGTAAGATATTGCAAATGCTTAGCACAAGTACTAGCACCCGGAAGCACTCATCAGTCAGTGGCTATAATTATTACCGCAGAAAACACCCAGAGCTGTGTTTTTCTCAACAATTGTTAGTTCACCACCACCTCCTCTTTTCTCTGAGGCAGGCAGGACCCATGTGCCACCAAGTCCCTACTCATTTTTAGGACATGTAGATTTCTTGTTCAGCTGGAAGACCCTTTACACCCGACAATAACCCCGTCGGTGTGGAGGAACCCTTTTCTAAAGATTTACTCATTCGTAAAAAGTCTTCAAGGTACAAAACAACAACAAAAGAGGTGTCACCAAAACGTGGCCTGGTAGAGTACACCTGAGAGATGGGGACCAGCCAGCCAACCCTGACTGCAGCAGCCCCAGGAAAGCAGCCAGGGAGGTGAGGAGGCAGGAACCCCCCAGGGCGGCAGAGACCTGAAGGAGGAATAAACAACTGGCAGCTCTCGGGGAAGAAAAGGGCACAGGGACAGGAGGCCTGAAGAGGACAGCAGAGCCCACAGCACTCAGCGCTGGCGGTGGTGGGGCAGGTGTGAGGGAAAGCAGGAAGCACAAGAACAGAGGAAGGAGCCCCGCTAACAGCTCTGAGCCACTCTGCATGCAGATGAGGGATGTTCCCCAATTCTGCGCCAAGGCCAGGTCCAGTTCCCCTGCCTGCCCTGGGGAACTCGCCCACCACCTGCCTCCAGGAACAAGGCTGCCACTCAGGGCAAGGGCCATCATGAAAACGTCTAGGGAGGCTGAACTCACATCCAGGGATGGACCCTCCATGAGTCATAGCATGGGGCCCCACTGCTAACGTGGTGGACTTGGATTTGATCTCAGCAGAGCTCGTTCAAAGGGTGTTCCACGGCGGCTCTAGGGAAGAACCAGGTAAGGATGGTCGGATTGCTTCTTCCAGCTCCGGAATGGAAGTTGCAAGAAATTCTCAACAGCGCTGGTTGGCCCTGGAGGCACTCCGTCTCCCCGTAAACTCAGTCAGTCATCCTGGGGGTAACGTAAAGAGACGTGAACAGAGCACATTTCATAAAAGTCGTAAGACAAAAAGGGTTTGACTGAGTGGTACCGACGGGACCCTCAGCCTCCTGCCTTGGCCTCACCAGCCTGGCAGCTCCAATTGTTTTTTCAGTCCAAGACTCACTTTATGAAAACAAAAAGGAATCCAGACCCTGTACTCCACCTGCCTCTGCTTTCTCTGGCAAACATCCTCATCTTCATCACTTAGATACATAGCCCACTTTTCTGTGAATTTGTTTTTAAATGTCCAATTTGCGGCCTTTTGACATCAATTCAAATCTCGAGGTGAAATCAACTGTGAGTAGGCTGAGAATCAACTAGGGGTTAATCCTTGGCAAAAAAAAAAAAAAACTATTAAGGACCAAGTCAGCCATTTCCAGCCATTTTAGGCAGGGAGCCCAGAACGAAGGAGAAAAAACTGCTCATTCGGCTGCTCAACCGCCTCAGCATTTGAAGTGACTCGAAGTGACGATGTATGGGGAGTTGACAGTAAATCTCATTGGCTCCCCTCTGCTGCCAATTCTTTCCATCTCTTGCTTTTATGAATCTCGAGTGCTTTCTTATAGATTGGCACAGTTTGGACCCACCAGAAAGAGAGGTCCCAGGTTGTCACCCGTCACACCTCGAAGGAATTTTCCTGATGCTAACACATTCTTGGGAATTCCAAGGAATTCCACCAAACCTGCTGCATCCTTGTCCTGCACCCAACCACAAACCACATACGAAACCGCCAAGAGATAAACCGCACCAATGCCAGGTCCACAGCTGTCACCCTTTACCTACCCACTCCTCGTCCTCTGCCCCATCCCCCTGCTCTCGAGTCTCCGCCGAGGCCGGCTCTGAAGACTTTTGGGCCATGATGTTGTCTGTCCAGGATGCCCCTGTCTTCCCATCACCAGCGAAATTACACTTGGTCACTGTGCCGGCCTCAAGTTTGGCTAATGAATCTGAAAGAAGGAAAGAAGTTGAATGGCCTCTTTCTCTGTGGTGGAAACATAGTGGGGACTGGCTCATTCTGCTGGGGTCCCCAAGGCCTGGGTGTGGACCTCAGAGAGGCCCTGGGTGGGACCCCAAGACACCAGACAGGAGCGGCCACCCACAGGAACCACAGGATTGGGTGGCACCCCAGGATCCAGAGAATCCAGGTTATTGGCCTTGGGACTTAGGAATAAATCTCAAAGGGTCGTGTTCCCACAGAGGCCAGATCTCACCTGCTCCCATGAAGTCTAAGCAGGAGGGGGAGATTTGGACAGAGGCCCGGAGCCACTGTAGGCCACATGGGAACATCAGGCCACCGAGGGCTACACTGCTCACCCAGAAAGGGGCTGTCGCCTCGAGTTTTCAGCCGTACCCCAGCCCCCAGCTCCAGCTCCAGCGCCTCCATCTCTGACTCAGGCATCCAGAACGCCACCGTCTGCGCAGGAGTGAGGCTCTCTGTCAGCGCAAGCAGCTCTGGCTTGTTGACTAGCTCCTTCAGTGCCTCGGGCGTCAGTCTGTCAGTGTCCCCCTTGGCATCCACCTCTGCAGGCACACAGCACAAGAGGGTTAGTCCCACTGTAAGAGCACGCACCTGGGGAAGGCCTTTTAGGAGCCAGGTGAGGGCACAGTGCTTTACATGCTCACAGTCACCTGCAGATAGGACTCTGAGCACCAGTCCTGCAAGGACTCCTCATGGAGCCCAAGGCAGAGGAGTTACAGGCACGGGCTCTGGGCCTGGCGCATGGAAGATGCTCTTTAAGTGTTCAGAGAATTAACGAGCAACTGAAAGCATGAATGAATACGAGAGAGGGATGAATGGATTCCCACTCAGCCTCAAAACCTCCTCACACAGGAACAAATAGCAGAGGTCCTTCCGCCGCCAAAACCGGAAGAGGAATGAAATCACCAGGGGCCTAAGAACCAAATGAAAATTTTAACAAGTGGAGGTCACCAGGGCCTGGCCTAGGCTCTGCACAAAGGCAGTTAAGAGCCCAGAGCCAGGTTCATGGACGGTTCTGCCAGCCTACAGGAGACGGCAGGAGTTGGGAAGACCAGCCAGGCCCCTGGGACTGTGAATGGGGGGGTGGGGGCAGGAAGGAGTTGAGCCAGGGTGCCCTCCGGCCATTCATGGGCTTTAAGGCCAACCATGCTGAGAAGCCAAAAGACCCCTGGAGACAAAGGAAGGCCACCGTATAGCAGGGCCTAAGGGAGGAAGGGCAGAGGACACCTACTGTAGGATGACATGAGGAAGCCCGTGTTCACCTTCCTGGTGGCACTGAAGTTGGGCTCGATTTCATTTCCCTTGGGGTCGAACTTACGACGATGGATGCAACTAGGCCGGATGTACAGCACGTAGTAGCGTTCCTGGGGGCCAGGCAGAGAGAGAGTTAGGGGGGCTGCTCCACTCCCACACTCTCCAACACGTACACCCCCCACAGGGCCCCGGCCGCAGCCTTTCCCAGCCTCACTCTCTACCCCGAACCCCACCTCAGGTCGAAAGATAGTCAAGCAGGGCAGATGCCCCACTCCGATATTCATTCATTCGTCTATTCATTCGTATGTTTAGTAGAGCACCTGCCACACATAACCAACCATGCTAGACACCCACGGAAGGGCGGGCCCACGGACCCCAAGGCCTCGACACAACCAAGACAGAAAGTACACAGACAACCATAACCCAAGTGCCAAGGGCCCCAAATACAAGGCACGCTGGAAAAGGCGCTGAAAGGGGGCTGAGTAAGGGCTGCCACTGCGCCTCTTCCAGCGGATGTGGGACCCGGGGCGAATGCCTCCTAGCCTCAGCTTCCCCTGCCACATGGAAACACGATATCTGCTTTCAGGAATGTCCTAAGGGTTCCACGAGATAACAAAGGCACCAGCACAGCGGAAAGCATGAAGCGCGCTGTAACGTGGGTGCCAGCGGCCCTAACCACAGCGAGTGGGTGAAATGCTCCCAGGGATGGGAGAAGAGGGAACTGCCTTCTACGAGAAACAGGGAAGGTGACATCTCAAAGGCGGAGAAAACCGCAACTGTGGAAACAGGCGTATGAAGAGTGTTAAACGTCCGGGACGGGTATGTGTGAGTCAGGATCCCGTGTGCCTGTATGAGCAACGCGAGGCCCGTGGAGGCCTCGTGAGAGCCCAGGCTGGGAACGGAAAAGGGATGGGTTCGAGACAGGCCCTGAGTTGGCATTTTGAGTTTGGATTTTACTTGGCAGATGAGGAGGAATCCTAAAAGGTTTATGAGCAGCAGCGAGACCCTCAGAGATGTCTTTCAGGAAACGGGTGGGCAGCAGGACAGGGATGAGCGTTGGAGGTGGCCAGAAGGCAAGAGGGGCAGGTGCCAGATTTAATCGGGACAGGCTGAGTTCCTGACAGCCAGTGCAGGTGAGTGGACACGGAAAGAGGAAGGAAAGGGAAGGGAGGGGAAGGAATGGCCAAGGTGGAGCCCAACAGGACCAGGCATTGCTCACCTGGGGGAGGGGGAGGAAGAGACGGTGGAGGCCTGCAGGCCGGTGCTGGGGAGAGCTACTGCACTATCATCAGGAAGGGGGCACTCAGAGAGGCAAGTTTGCAGGGGGGCTGAGAGTGCCCTGCCCGTCCAAAGAGGCCAGCCCCACATCAGCGTGGGGTTACCGCTGGGCTCTCCGGGGAGGGCTGGCCGGGGCCTCTGCATGGGTGTGCCCACCCTGCTGACCCGCGTGCTAGGGAGGGGAGGGCACGGCAAAGCATCTCTTGGCATGAAACTAGTGCAGAATTGGGAGCAGAGGCTTTTCCCACGGGGTGGAGAGAAACTGGCTCTGTGTGGCCCCAGCCTCTGGCCCACCTGGAAAGGAGGTTTGGATGAGCTCCGTTCTGGAGACCAAGATGAGGCGGTCAGCGCATTGGAGTGGAGCTACTTGAAAGAGGCATGGACACTCAGAACTAATGCTCGGGAAAGACTCGCAGGAAGGACAGGATGGTGAACACCGGTGTGTCCTTGGACACCTGAGATGGGGTGGTGATAAAGGGCGTGACCCCGGGAGAGTGAGAGGGCCAGCGCGGAACTAAAGCCCGGGGCAATGTCAGCCACATAGACTTGACACTGGAAACAAAGCCTCAGGACAGAGCAAACCTCCTCTCCACCCATCCACATATAAAGGCCTGGGTCCTCACCAGCTACTTGTTTCATAAAAAGCCAGCATTCCAAAATGCCCAGCCACACAGAGTGATGTTAAAAGACGAGCGAGCCCATGCCAAGAGACTCGCGACTTTGCAAATGGAGTCACTTAAAGGGTCCTAACAGCAAATTCCACCGGTACGTTTATAGTAATTCAATCCCCAAAAATTCAAAGTACACATGACTTCCTAGGAACAGAGCTCGTCCCCAAAGGAAAAGGTCACCGCTGACCCCCGACACACACAGGCCGATACCCCGGTCTGACTTTGTCCATCAGGACGAGCAGTGGGAACCACCGGACCAGGGGACAGGAGTCTGGGCCCTCAGCCCTCCCAGAATAGTCACTCATCCTGCCCACCCCAGCAAGGCTCCCGGCACTAAATCTGTTCCATCAGAAGGTGACAGGACCTGTTTTGAGGGCCTTCCAGCCCACTCAGCACCCACGGCCTTCATCCTGAACCACTCACCCTACTCTTTCCTGCTCACAACCCTCCCAGTCCCGGCCCCAGATACACCATCTGGGCTCAGGGCCTGGTCTGTCTTCTCAGCAAAAACTCAGACTCTCCCATCTATCCGCTGCCCAGCACAACCCTAAGTGATCCCCTTCCACTCAGTGGCCCCTTTTGGCTGCTCATATCCTGACTGACCTCCCACCTGCCCCATGAGCCCCTCAAGGAAAGAGCTGAACCCAAAGTCTTGGCACTGGCTGAGCCAAGCACGGGGAGCTGCCTTGGCAGGTGAGGACTGTGAAGCCAGTGGGTGCCCCCAAGGAAGCATCCTCACCTTCCTGCCGTGGGCGTCTGAGATGCTGTGCGGAGATACATCAACCAGTTCTCCCTCCAGCAGGACGCCATTTCCCCTGAGGATGAGAGGACAAGGGCGGGGTCAGCTGGCTCTGCCGGTCCTTAGGCAAGAACCACAGGTTGGACGACCCAGGTCAGAATCTGCACTGGGACAGAAGCAAGTCCCATGCGTGTCCCCTATTCACCTGGTCCCTGAGCCAAGCCCAGCACTGAACAGCCCCTTTCTCTGTGCTTCCCACATAGACCTCCATGCCTTTGAGGGTCCAAAAGGCTGGGGTGCGGCTCAGAAAGTAGGAGGGACCATGTCAAGTTACAAGACCTAGCGTGGCCCCTTCTGCAGGGGGTGTTCTAACCAGAGCCTCAGTCTTATCAACAAAACGAGAGAGTAACTCACTCTGCTATGACGATGACATAGGAACGTGAAGGTGCTTGGTACACTACTCAGTGCTTACTAAATATTAAGGATTTTCTTTCTTTATTTAACCAAATTTCTGGAGGGAGGGATCTAAGCTGCTGTAAAGTATCTCCTTTTCACCTGTTTTTTAAAGCACTCTCACATTCCTGTTCTCATAGCCACTTCAGAGGTGGAGAAAACCAGACTCAAGGTGGGTGACCAGCCTAAGATCACAGGGTCCCCAGTGAGAAGAGCTGGACCTCACTTCCCCAAGCAAGCTTTCACGAAAGCAGAACCTGTGGGCTTCCTTCTTCGGAACCACAGAAATGGGAGAGGGGTGGGGACAGCTGAAGGGATGGGGATAAAACACTGACAACCCGCAGTACCTACTGGCCCCTACGCACTCCCTCAGCCCTTCAATTCTTCAGTGTTTTAACTGCAAATAGAATGGTCCATTCGTTCTTACAACCTCCGCCTCTGTGAGGGCAGGCCTGGCCCTGCGATCCCACAGCGGCCTCCAGGTAGGCCTTTCCCTCCCAGGCGGACTCCCACCCACGGTTCCGGTCACAGAACGACAGTGTCCCTTCTGGAGCGCGGGGTGGGGGCGGTGCAGCCCGGGCAAAGGCCCGAAGGAAGGCACAGCTGTGTGGCAAGTGCCTGGAGTTTACAGCCGCGGGGATGGGGTGGAGACCAAGGTCGGCGTGAAGGGAGCGGCCCCGTTCCTGCCCCGTTTGCGGGTCGAGACTCAATCCCCTCCCGAGAGTACGGGGACAGTAGGGGTTGTTTCAAGCCGATCGGTGTCTTAGGGGGTGCGCTCCCGCAGTGGGGCGGGCGCTGGAGGAGCTTTGGCACGCCCCGCCTTCCCTCCGGCCCGCGCCCCGGCCCCGGGCGCCCCCTCCCCGATCCGGGTGCCCTGGCTGCAGGCTGGGCGGG